TCAATATTGGACCAAATATTTTGTACAGTTCACGCATAGAATAAATTTGAACAGAGCGAGAACAACAATATTCGACTGAAAATAATGTGAATTCACATAGAATAGAGTGAATTTGTCTAGCAATAGGATCCAGGATTGGTGTTTCGTCTTATTCGGGACTAGTTATCTAAATGTACCTGCATCAGTGTTGGTGCTCATTTCAGGACATGAACTTAGTACCTTGAGTTTTTGAACATAATATGTTTTCCATCTATCTACTTATTCCAGATAACTATACACTTGTGGAACGAATACGAGTTTTAATTCAATTCAACGGTTAAGATTATCCCATTGTTAATATTTTCAATTGAAATGTGATCAATCTGTACAGGCTGTGTATATACCAACCAAGACGGATCAAATTTCAATCAAAAATATCAACAATAGTATAATCCAAATCATTCTAAATTGAATTTATATAAATTCATTTTGTTTAGTGGATTCACATTATTATTGAATTGGGTTAACAAAACATATTTATCGCAAAATATTACGGAATGGAAACTTTGTAAATGTGAATATTTGAAATAACAAGAGTTATCAATGAGATATTGTTCATAAATTCAGTCTTTGAAAACAATCATCTTGAACAGAAAATATAAAAATTTTATATTACATAATAGTTATAAAATAATGTTATTTGAAAGGAGTTACATAAGTTTAGGAAAATAAATTAGCATAAATTACATAATGAACTAACAAGAATCCAACTAGACATTCAATCAACTGATAAGATTTCACGAAATATAAGATGAATTCATACCATTTTTTATTGAAAATTTCTTATTCTTCTATTTCAACTAGTTTATACAAAATTGTGAGTAAAGACATAGAAACTCATATTATATTGTCCAGATACGGATTTTCATTTTAATTAATTACCAGATTAATTAAGAACTATTACTGAACGTAGACTATGATTTGAACCATATTCTAATAATTTTATTTTTAGATCTAAAACTATTTTTTTTAGATCATACAATATTGAGTTACGTAATTAAATGGCATACATATCTATAATAAATATATTATTTCAGTGTAAATGGTATGAGTTATTAATAAATAACAGTGAATTTCCTTAATGGTTAGATTTATCAAGCTGAAAATTGGTCAGATGACTAATCTGGAATGGATTTTAGACGATATAATATACAGTAAACTTTAGAAAAAACTAAAGGAAGCAGTTGTTGTTGTTGGAGGTGGTCAACAAGAAAGCCTGGACCTTAGTTTCGTGCTACTTGGCACTCGTCAGCAAGGTGTGCCTGTAACCTTGAGGGAACTGGCTCTCCCTGACGGATTCGATCCCATGTCACACGGCTCCACAGTCAGAGACGTTACCACTGGGCTATCCGGGCCACGACCGACCTCTTGTAGGACTGAGATGTAATCATATTTGATTGATCACTGGGTGGTGATCAATGTCATGTGTGTCAAGTCCTACTTAGTGCAGACCAAATGCTATCAACCAATGTCGAGTTACCTAGACTAATGGCCATTTTGCAACTTGGTTAATAGCACTCGATCTGCACTAAAAAGGACTTGACACACATAAAATTGATCACCACCCAATGATCAATCAAATGTGAAAGGAAGCAATACTACATAATAACAATAGTAATAATAAAGGGGTAATTAAGTAGTATGTTAATAACCATTCTTTCTGATATACAACAGAATATATAGTTTACACAAATAAAATCATATAGTGAATTATTCTATATGATTAAATATATTAATACTTTATTATACACGAAGTTACTTTGAAAGTTTAGTAGAAGTGAACAACTTGAACTTACGTGTATGATAATGAAAGATTATCCGTAACTATGAGGTGAGTTTCAATTTTTTCGAATTTACATGAAGAATAATTATCTACAAATATAATTTTAAATTAATATATTAGAGAATTAAGAGTTGATAGCATTATGTCTTGTCACATCAATATTATTCACTGTTATTATCAATGAATTCTTTTTAAAAATTGTTATTAGCATATGATTATGGTAATCGGTTGGAAACACTGAACGTAATTTTATTGATAGTTAAGATTTTTTTTTTGTGTTCTGAAAAATTTATACCTTTCAGTTTTCAGGTTTATTTTATCAAGCACATAAGCCAGAAATCTTACATTTGGAATACTTACCATTATATTGACAATATTTAAGAATAAGTGCATGAATTTTGTTATTTATATCATGAAGTGACTTCAGTTAGAAAACCATCGAAGATCAATGAGCTATTTGTTCTCGTAGTAGACTCCTCAGGATTATGTACGGACAAATTCATATGTAATAAAACCCGAGAGCTTCAGCGTAGGATTACCTTCATATAAATGGATTTGGAATACTAGTTCTTATTACTGAGTTCAGTTAATATGTAAAATTGATAGACCATCATCGATTAGCATCAGTAATATTTGTTTCACTTCCAGTATGAATGAACTCCACTAGTTGTAATTTTACATCATAGCTTCGGGAATACTTCTAGGGTGTGGTCGATTATAAATGCAAATTGACTAAATATGAAAACCACTGAATATCAATTCACCGGTCTAAAGGTGACTCACTCATTGCTAGCCCTAAAATTTAAGTTCGATATCTGGAAGGATCATGAATGTGCACTACTGAAAAGCCCTACGCCAGCCAACTACTGCTCCTTGATATTTAGTCTAGTTAGAGTCAGTTCGCAATGTCAATTACAAACCCAATAATCTTAAAATCTTCATCTGCTGGCATTAATTTTCACAAATGTCGAATCTATGATACTAATAATATTTTGTTGATCAAAATAGTGATGTGGTTAATAATCTCATTAGAAGCTATTCAATCTAGTAATGAACCTGAGCAACACCGGTCCTGGTTTGTGATGAAAGGAGTATCCACGAGGTTACAAGCATGGCTTGATAAAAGCATAATGACAATGTTCAAACGACTTTCTAACGATTTCATTCAACTGAGAAATAAGAATTATGACGAAATGTAACATTGAGCCACTTGACCTAATGGTCATACTATAAACTTCTTTATTGAAATTTAATTCAAACTTTTAGACTAGATAGGTGACTGTTTTGTGTCCAATCACCTTTGTACTTGTTATATAAAATCAGTCTCATTTGTATTATGAAATTTAGGCTTAGATTTGTTGAAAAATAATCTGTATTCATTTAGTATTTAACGTTAAAGTTACTATTTTGGAATTTGGTAAATGTCTAAGAATGGGTTTTGTGACGAGTTGAATGAAACTCATTATTCGAGCTTGAAAATACTGACCTATCAAGACAAAATTGCCAACCATAAACAAATGAAGTCTCTCCATGTGTACAATAGGATCCTATTTCACACAACAAAAGAGAATGAATATATTTATTCACTGGAATAGTTGGTTACTATAGTAACGGTCTCCTAGGTTATGGACGGATTAGACGCAAGTACCTGTGAACACGTGTAAACTAGTGAAGCCCAGAGGTTAAGAATAATGCTTATCTTTTCATAGGCAAATTCGAAATGCTGATAATGATTAAGAAAGAATAAGTTGTGACGATCAATACAGAGATCAAACGACTAATTATTTGAATCTACCACAGTTAAATGCCAGCTTAACGTTACATGGCTGCTAGATGAATTTGGGTCTATATTTCCAGTGAATAAAATAAAAATGACCAATACTTAACTCGACATTTTGTTAGGATGGAATACATTTTAGTCAGCATGGCTTGTGAAATTAATTTTCCAAACGTCAGCGACAAACCTGTGTCCGTTGGAGGCCAGTGTATTGTTCAGCAGTTCTATAACTGTCGCACATTGTTGCTGAATGTGAACAATATTGATGTTCCCATTATAACCTAGCCGTGCTTCCAGCTATTCGACGTCAGTCAGTCAGTAACAACGTAGGACTTCGTACGTACGTACATCAGTTCGAGTTGCCACACCACATTAGCATAGAGATGCAGTGGTCGATTCAAATCCCGTAGTGGTAGAGGTAATAAGAGTATAAGCAGTAATCGGGAAGATTAGCTATTCGACGAGAAACTAGAGCACATTAGAGAAACACTACAGTACGAGTGCTAATATGACACGGAGCCGCCTTCTGCAGTCTCCGTTGCTATAGTTCAAAAGAAACAAATGGGGACTCCCCGTTTTTGGCACCTAATTATACATTTCAGCTCAAATACCAGGATCTCAAGTGAACATTGCGATGCCCTCCTAGCTTTGTGCAGATATCACTTAGTCAATACTATCTGTCCAGTAGAGTTGTGAAGAGGTTTGACATTTTTTCTGTAACCTTACCGGTCTGAGGCCCACAACCCACTTCAGTTTGACACCCAAATACCACCAATCCCTACACCTACAACTCGGTTATGAATATGGTCTGAAACCGTACAACACCCGTGCCCTTCATTATCACCAAGACTTTCTGACCTGCAATGAGATTTTTGTTACAAGTACTGAGCCCGCCGTGTATCAAATAAACAAAAATGAAGACAACACCCGGTCATCTGCTGTTTTGTAATCACGAATCTCTATCCCTCCACTCTAGATTTCTGGACCAAATTATAGTTGCCTCGCTGAAGTCTTCTCCAGTAAGGATTAAATTGAACTTTCCAACTCGATTATCATATTAGGCAGAGCAATCTACAAAGCTGATGAAAATACTGGGCAGCTGCATAAATTACTGCGACAAGACATTCTGTGCATGCTAACATAACAAAACTAGTCACTTAGAAGCTAAATTCGGTCATGAGTTGGACGACTTATTTCAGCCGAAGAAAAGTTACTACGAACACCACTGGGTTGGCAAGAGGGCCCTCGTAATGTCAACTACTTACAACGCGACCGAATATAGAGAAAATCTCTAACTCAGATGGTCTTGTAAGATTTTAAGGCCAAACTACAGAAACTTTTGTTAATCAGCTTAGCTTGTATCCATTTAGGAACCAAATAAAGATAACTGAAACGGCAATTGCAACACACAAATTTATGCAATGAAAATTAAAAAACAATGCAAAGTAATGTAGGTGATACACATTATAAGTAAATGGTAATAAAAAAGACTACAAAAAACCAACAAGCAAAACCATACATAATTGTTTCCATTATTGAAAACGAAATACAATAGAGTAAATAAATCCAAAATCTTGTACTCTATCAGATTAGAAAGTAATGCTGCTTGCCAGAAATAATAAAAACACACAATGACTATAAAAAGAAAGGCACAAGTGCGAAATAATTGTGTAGTACGATAAAGATAAGTAACATAAGATAAAAACAAAACAAATGCGACTGTGTCCACCTTGCTTCAAGTAAGGCGTTACACACAAATTAACTAAATCAATTTGCGAAAATAAACTAGAGGAACGGAATGGTTAATTTATATGAAATGATGCTCATTTAATGAAAAAATAGGCCAAGTTTACAGAGAAAGATGAAACAGATAAAATAGATGATGTGAGGTAGGGAGACATGTTAACCATTAAGAAAATTCAATCACTGGTAAATAGATGCGCTAACAAATTTGCACGACCGACACGCATTGATCTCTGTTGATTCATTATTTGTTTATTAGATGTATTTTCTTTCTCATATGGGTGTAATAGTCCTCGAATCTTACACCGTAACAGCGCGTTAAACAGATTAATATAAGTGAAAAATGACGAAACAAATTATAAACTAATGAAGAGTAAACAATAAAGACTAAAATAAACAAATAAGTGGATCAGCATTCAAAGACTATAATAACCACCAAATGAAAAAAGAATACGAAATCCAATAAACAAATAATAAATCAAAAGTGATTAATGCTTGTCCGTGTGTTGCAGCCGTCTAAAAATTTCAATTTCAATAAGAAAAATCCAAACAAACAAAAGCAGTCAAAAATAATTAAGTATATGGTATTCAAGATAACCTAAGCCTAGAAAACAGAAAAACATAAAACTGTTTATAGTCAAAATATAGAAGTAAAATAAAACATGGTTAACATTGATTAATCTGAAGGTTGTTATTCACGTAGCCCACCTTCTTCACCTTCAGCTTCAGATGAGGCCAGGAGTTTGGAGAAATTCATAAGGTCGTGTGGATTTAAAGAACCAGCGCATTCAGAACTATTTTCGACCTCCAGTCCATTGCAAACTGACATGTGGTGGTCAGCAGCATCAGACCTGGAGACTGCAGTTCTGCTCAAAATAGCACACACAGATCGCGGCGTGTTTGGTGTTGGGGTCCCAACTCTGCCTTCTTCGTGTTCAGTCCCTGACGTGTAATGAGTCATTGTTGAAGATTTAGGTATTTCTTGGCATGTCGAACGAGGTGATAAGTGAGTGATGTAAGAACTTGATAAAGGCGGTAAAACAGATGCAGCAATTTGTTCTGGAGCGAATGAAGACATTTGGTTTTCCCAGTCAATCAACTGACGAAAAGAGACATTCCGTCCACCACCGATAATTATGAGAACATTGGAGGGACGAGGTAGGCGACCCTCTAGTTGTAGGCGTGATAGGTAGCCTGAATATATAGTCGAAAGTGCTGCTCCACAAGCTGGATCAACAAGCATTCCATGGTCATCTGAAATGTATAGAAAACCTTCATATTAGTGAGGTATGACAAGGCAGAGTTTTGATGGAAGAAAATACTGAAGGCTTGAAACTGTGCTTTAGAGTACGCTACCCATTATCAAAGATAACTATGACAATGTCTATCTGGATGTGGTCGACTAGGAACTTACACAACTAGCTCGGATTTGTTACATGCGACATACTGCTAGCTCCCAATCGATCTTAATTGACATGGTTAAATCTTGTATCATGTCCTCATAATATGCAATCTTTGTTTATACATATTAATACCACTGAAGTAACAGCTTCTATGAATTTGATGCTTATCTTGCTGTGCTCAAGAGATGTGGCAACTTGGACTGATGCTTATAAGTGCCTGGTCCTACGTTGAAGCTGACTGACCAACATGGTTGAAATATGTTAGTCTTGTGGAGTGTAAGGCAACACTAATTGATTTTCGTATGACTAAGACATACAATGCTCTTGATCAGAACTTGTTAACGTGTACATTTCCAACACTGACAGACGTTTGAAATATGTGGCTACTTAAGTCTACTTTTAGACCTAGTTTGTTTGGCTGACTTCAAAGTGGTAACCTTATCATCGACAGGAATAATGTCATCGTCAACATACAAAGTTCGGGACGGGTACAGAAATAATGTGTGAAGCTACTGAAACAAGATCTTACCCAAAAAACGTTTAACTCCATCAACTGCCTCTCCGTCAGTACAGGTCACTGCACTAATCGAATGGCATTGAGCCAAACTCCAAGCACGCTGTGCCAAGACTGGGGCGCTGAGAGAAGTTGCAATCGTTGAGCTTCGTGGAATAACTGCTAACTGACCAGATTTCAATGAACGGTTTAAGCAATCTGCCCCCTCTGTTTCCACAGTTACTATATGGGTTGAAGACCATCCTCTATTCCACAGACCCTAAACATGTAGAAATACCTCATGAAAATCTTCGGAGAATAAGCCCTGAATAAAACTTCTTTATGGGATAAAAGGTTTATAAAAAGGCATCACCTTAAAAATATATTAAGATACTTTAGTTGTTCAGCGTATTTGAATTATGCATTTCGTTGTTAAATGTACTGACTATGAATGAGAAGCCTGAATTTACAAATTTTTGCTGTATCAGCATTATAGAACTGGGTTAACATCGTGAGTAAAAATAACATGAAAAATGTTACAGAAATATATACAAACACTTTTGTAGGAGACAGGAGGATAGATGATTTGGTTTACAGCCAGTGGACCATACATTCAAGGCACCTATATTCACTTAGATTCAGGAAGTATTGCTAACCCTCGGAGTATTAAGCTGTACATGGAATACCAAATTTTAGATGGAAGAAGTTTCAAAATGTGACGACACTCACTTGTATGACTCCTGCAAGCAACCCTCCACCACCAACGGCGACAACTATAGCATCTGGTTGACCGATTTCTGGAGTGACTTCGTCAACAATAGTTTCGTATCCTTCCCATAGTTCAGGCTGATCATAAGGATGAAGAAGTCGGACAGTGGGATCATTGTGTCCGGATTGTAGGTCGTTTACTAATTGTTCAGCGCGGTGATGGGCCTCCAAGAAACTGGTGCCACCAATAACGATCTTGGCTTCCTGCGCCTCTAATGATAGGCGCCGTCTAATAGTTTGCTCAAGAGCCTCAGGAACTACTAATGTACAGTTTATTCTGTAAGTGTGAGCTGCAAAAGATACGGCTATGCCTGCATTCCCAGTAGTTGGACAGACAATATGAGTCACTCCCGCGGCTGCCCACTGAAATCAACAAATGAAAACCGAATGAGGTGAGTAAACAAGGTCTGGTAAACTGTTTTGTTGTCGCGATGTATATTTTTGTTTGACGCAAATAACCAATTCCTAGCGATAGCCATTATATTTAAAAACTGGGTGTTAGTAATGTGAAATGACACTTTCAAATATGTCCAAAACATACTCGTAATAATCCACTTTGAGCACTTCTGGTCACACTATTGCCGAGGACTAGTGTTAGTGTTCGTTGTGACTTTTTGTTCACTCGATTGACGTGACAACGAATTAATTTATGTACCCTCCATTAGGTTAACTAAACTTCTTAATTAAACTGGATTCATCTATTTTAGAAGTTAGCTTATTTTACTGATAATGGAAACCAGAAGCTTGGGCTCCCTAAATAATTAACAATAAACAATTTGATAAAATACAAGGAATCTGACAGTGATGTAACAACTGAATTCGATGTCCTCAGTTTTCACTCTATTATCCAGCAGCACACCATGACTTGTAAAAATAACAACAGAATCTTAAGTATAATCGCTTAAACTATATAATTAAAAGGATGTGGCTCCTCAGACTTAGGTGAAGTGCTATTATAAGACAAATAACAGTTACATGAAAACTTGTTAAACGGAATGTTAGCTGCACTTAAATAGGGTAGATACACTGGACGGTTGTTTGAATCGATGTAAAAAAAGATTTTAACATTAATTATTCATTGAATCAGTTACTCGCAACATAAAACCTAGATCAATCTTGAGGAAAAATTTCATTTGAAGTAGAAAAACACTTAAAACAAGCTTGCATTGTCGCTCAACGTGATCGAAGGACTTAGCATCTCGGTTTTCATTTGACGGGACCGCATTATCTACGTATTCTATATTAACGAGTGAATCTATTACATTAATTTCTAAAGTTAGGCAGTATTACTTATGGTTGCCACGAGAAGTCTTGGGTGGGGACTGCGATCGACGGGTCCTCACATAGATTGACAAAAATACAAAATATCTAACTCAGATAAATGAAGTACTAAATAACTTACCTTGCGAACCACATTTTCAACACCACGAATTTTGAATGATCCAGTCGGTTGAATATTTTCTAGTTTGAGCCATATGTTCATCTGACAACCCCGCTGTGTTAACAAACTCGACAACACAGGACTTGGTATCAAAGGACTTTTAACAGACAAACGCCTGCATACTCCAGCTGTCAAAGCACTCGGGTTTATTTCGTCAGAACGTCCAGTTTCCGGAAGTGGGTTAAGTACAGACCGCTGTTGGGAAAACAGCCACGGAGAATGACTCGTTGTATTCGTCAAGTTCCTGAGAGACTGTTCCAATTTCGGCTGGTCACTGTCGACAGTTCGTTGGGAGTTTAGCGTGTTAATTATCGAGATCTCTCTGGATGAACAGCGATCAACCCCAGCAACCAAACCTGGTGAGTTTGCATTATGGTGACCGTCAAGGAAATCCAAGACGTCTAACGAACTGGTTTGTGAGAGGACGTCGCGGTTGAAGATCGATGTTAGGTTGTGATCAGTGACTACGAAAATAATTATGTGGATAAGAATTATACACAGAAGGAACTGCGATCGGTTCTGAATTTCAACTGAATTAATTTCACAGGTATGAATTATGACTTGAAGTGGTAAATCCCTTCGATTCTGGGTTATGTCACTCAGTTTTCACAACCACTGGTTGCGATAGTCGCGCGAACCCCAACCAAGTAAGCTGCATTTACCAACATGGCTCAGACCAGAGACTTCAAAAACTGATGCCACATTTTGACTTGGTAGCCCGTGACTCCCTTAGATCAGTCTCCAACACCCGTCAGCATTGCATGCTGTGGTAATCGGTGGTCCGGGCGCGCGTATTACGTGACCCAACTTTCTCGGTCAATGAAGACCAACATCATCAACTGACTTACCATTATTCCTTAATACCCTGGGTTTAACCTCACTTTTACCTAGCGATCCCAGAAGACGCTATCATGATGTAATGTTGGTACCCTACGAGTATCTTTTACCTTTAATGGTCATGTTTAGCGGTCGTAAAGTAGGACAGAACAAACTGTTACGTAGTATACTCGTCCCTTAATTGATAGACGAATATCTCGTCTTTGCCATGAGTGACGTACGTTGACAAAGCCAAACGAGCCCTTTGAAACCGAGCAGAGTTCGTAAGACACCAACCCATTACTAATGTTCAGACTTCCAAGATAAGTGAAGTGATCGACGCGTTCGACCACTTCATTTCCCCTCCTTAATTCAGGTCTTGATACAAACCGGTTTCCAAGCAGCAGTTTGCATCTAGAGGTGAAAAGCATTCCAAAAATCCTGGCATTGTTGCTGAGTGTTACCATAAGACTATTTTATCAGTCTTTACCGAACTGGACTGTCACTGGTGGTGTAGGTTAAGCCAACCTACTGAATGAAGATCAATACCTAAAAATCTAGTCGGTGAGGGAGTTATTTTTAGTAGCAGGTCTACGACGAAACTGAACAAAAAATGGAGATATTGAACAGTCCTGCCGGACATCACTTGATGTTGCGAAATCAGGTGAAAGTCCGCAAAAATATATGGTTCGACTGAAAATGTTCGAGTAAATAGCCTCTATATGGTTTATGTACACCGGAGGTACACTTCAATGGCAGACACTGCCACAGAACCTCTGGGTCTAGAGTCAAATTCTGCTATTAAGAAAAACTATCATCGTTGGGCGCCAATAAACAGGAGTCAGGACTGGTCAAAAATTTTGCGGAAACGTTTAATGCGAGTCACTCAACACTTTTAAATTTAGTAGTGAAACACAGAAAAAAAAGTAATCTTACTTTTGTTTCGCATGATTGGTCGAGGAGGGATTCCGAACGGTGGGTTTGACGGTAACTGGAGGGAACTGCTAGATTCCACTGCTACGTTTAGAGTGACTTCAGAGTTTTTTGTTTCTGCCATATACTGACTCTGTGAATTTCCATGCACAGCGCAGCTTAGTGTGTTCAGCGTCCGTCTATTCAACACATTTGTGAGTATATTCGATTCGGTCAACGGATCGGCGTTACTGTTGTTGTTAGTTGTACGATTAAGTGGGAGTGGTGACTGACGCGAAGAAAAGTAAAACAGCCCATAGGTTTCTCTTGTTACTGAACCAATTAAACGCAATCTAAGTGGTGTAGTCCATTCCGGGGCCTGATAACCATTCAAGCGCAAAACAGAAAGTTCAGCACTACGAAATGAAAAAAATACACAAACCTACTTATTTTTCTCCTGGAAAATGACAGATGCACTTGAAGTGAACTTGCTGTCTGCTGATTCTGAACTCATATCACTTGAAGCTCCATTCAAAGCTGGACTGAGACGAGGCTTTTGACCTGGTGGTGAATCGGGAAATTGAGGAGCTAATAATCTAATAACCACAACGGCCCCGAAATTAGAAAAGAGACGCTGATATCATAAATTAATCTGCAAGTCAACCTACGAGTAAATCCGGTTCAGTCCACTCTACAGGTATCCCAGTTACTATAATCTCCCATCCAATTATATTTTCATTTGTGACTTCAGAATTCAATGAACCTGGGAAATTAGTTCCATTCGAAAATGTTTGGAGACGATGTCCTGTGGCGTTATTTATGATAATGAGATTTACCTGGTGTGAACCGACGACCACCTGAACTGGCGTACGCCACACGCAGTCGTTTCTGCTCCGTCTCATAGCCATGATAGGTTTGTATTGCTAAAGCTGCGTGCTGAGGGTTCACGAAATCTACGAACCCATAACACAAACTAGCACCCGTGTTCTATACATAATAATAAGAAGCAAATACTCTTACCTTGTCTCTAATAAGCTTACACTGTCTAATAGGTCCCACTCGCTCAAAAAGACGCTGGAGATCGTTTTGGTCGTAGCTCTGAGGAAGGTAGTTGATAATCAAATTGGTGCGTGAGCGATCCTCATTACAAAGGGTGTTACTATTTCCATTCTGATTATTATTCCCCAAATTTAAGCCAAGAAACTTGAGTCGAGACACAGTATCAATGTTGTTTACGTTTGGTCCGTTTATATTCAAGACTGAACCATTGACAGAGTTATTCATTGAGTCTTGGAAAGGAAGTGAAGGGAAGACGTCCGAAAGATTGCTGCCCATGCATCCATTTACGTGCATATTTACTGTCCTTACAACCCAACAAGGCGAGGTCAGCACGCAGCACCAGGTCAAATTCAAAATTCTGCGTTGACGCTGAAACCTATGAACTTAAAGAAAGATGAACCTGATGCAGTAAAACCCTTGGTCAAACGGATACAGTTATTTCACCATGAAACGAGATTTGGAAGCCACTTTTGTTCACAATTAATAGTGTTGTATTTTTAAAGGGAATAACAGAAAGTCAACTCTATATCAAACATGATAATCTAGGCAGATGAACGTGTTGTAGAAAACAACATCGGTGTCTTACGTCTCGAATTCTCTGAATCCTTTGGTTGACATGATTAAATATCACCATCCTCGTGATTGTCATCGTTTATCGACCTAGTTTTGGCATAATATCAGATAGACTATTCGTGATTAGAATGAAATATTGTTTCTCCAAAATCACCCAGTTCAGTAATAGACCTATAAGCAACCCATCAATAATGCTCCTTAGAGATTTGTGTCGTAAATTTGCTTCCATAGGATTTGGCTAGGTAAGAGTCGAACATCAGGAAGGTTAGCCTCAGTAGACAGCCTAGCAGCCTAGTGCATATTTGTTCGATCACGCAACCATTTAGATTGACATTGTCTTCGGGACATGTAATCTACTGGATTAACGATGTACGACAATTCCGAAAGCTTTGTATCCGCGCTCAATAAGTTTGAGGTATTCGTGTTTATTGTCAGAACGACTCTGTCAGCGATCGACTTCTGAAGGTATAGAACCATAATTCAAGCCACCTTCAATGAGCCATGAACTGTAATACTAGGTAAATACTCTGTTTTGATAGAATCTCAGGTCAATAGTGCTCATCAACCACTATTAACCCGGATTTATAGCAATTACAGCACTTCGGAGAAAGCTTTTTGAAGGTGTTAGCACTGTAGTTATTTAATTACTTTTGTAGCTGTAAGTAAATCCGCAAAATAAATAGCTGTGTAAGTCTTCAACATTTGATGCTGACTGCATCGGTTTTACTGAACGCACCTAGCTGAAGGCACTTGGTCACGCATCCGCACCAGATCACGAGTAGGTACGCCGTGCTATGCATCCCCTTAAACTTTTAGCTAGCTCAGACCAAACGTTCCTCGACATACCAATAGCCTTCCAAATATATATTTGAACTCCATTTCTGACTTCTGACTTTACGGGGTTGGTGTACATCGATTATGAAGGTGTTATGTGCAAGAGCATTGTCAAACTCTGAATAACGGCAGCATTTTTAAGAAGATACAGACATGTAAGAACATTTAAAATTAATTTTTCGAGTTACGAATGCAACCAACAACTATAAATTACTGGAAATGATAATAAATGAACAAATTGCTAGGACGTTCCTCAAACAGCAAGAATTAAGGTGTCCTGGGAACCTAACGGTTCCTCTAGAACTTATCAGTTTAAGACCGGTATTAGATGTCGGCTAAGCTCTAACTTGATCACTGACCATCATAGGTTGCGTGTCAGTTATCGAAACTGTGACTTTCGGGTTTGGGATGTGAAGGTCGATAGTAACAATGTAGGATCCGTTTGTGTGAAAAAACTGGGTTACGATGGCTGCTATTTTGTCTTTTTCCTCCTTTTCATTACATTGCCCGAACTGACTGTAGTTATGGATTATTTCGTCATGAAGTGAAACACAATTCCAGAACTAGAATCACTCACTGTTGTGACAAGTAGTTAAGGTCACAGTTCCCAGAACCCTTTTGCTGATGTTTTGTAGAACTAAATATCATTTTTTGAACAATCAGCACGATCTGTCCCGAAAGGATCAATAATATTTTTGAATTAGTAGAAACGATTGTGTTTTGTAACTGGTTGCTAGTTTATTTTCACGATCAATCTACCTGCTTGATGCAGTTCAGGCTTAAATGAGTTTGTTCAAAATCGCTTTATTTTGTAACTAACAATAGAGCTGCCTTTCAAGTAAGCGGCTCACAGCCGATCGATGCTGACGTTTTCCATGTCGACTGTGTCGTACTTGAGTTTACAAAGAAGAACTCAATTGATATTATCAAGGGCTCATTGTAATGAATCAGGATGTATGTAAACATGTGTATTTAACAATAAGGCGTGTCCGGTAGAAACCTTATTTGATAAGGTTCGAGTGAGGTTAGATCGTTCTTGCGTTTAGGTAACCCTCGTGCTATTGACAGAAGAAACCAGACGAGTGGAGAATAGGCTTTCATTTAGATCTTCGCTCAGTCACAGTGGAGCGTGGGATTACCTGTTCAGATAAATAAAGCCTCTCAATATTCAATATAAGATAATAGGAAATATAACGCCTATGCAAAACAAGGGAGTGGATGAATACTTGAACTCTACTGTTTTGATATATGCTGAGTCGTTTTAGGTCAACTCTTAACCAGTCAGCACAAGCTGTTACAGATCTAACTGAAGATGACACAGGTATTCAGTGTGTGACAACGCTTTTATCAGTAACACCTAATATAATTTGTACTCACCGAGAGAAATCAGAAGACAGAGTCGAGGAGATCGGAAGAGTATATTTGGCGATTACCAATATATCGGAATTCTCTGATCTAATCTGGCTAGCGATTGCGGTTGATGTTGAGCACAGCGTTACCACACGTGATCTGGTGCGGATGCCTGACCGAGCGCCTTCAGCTAGATGAGTCCACTAAAACATATGGTCAGCATCCAATGTCGAAAACTTACAGAGCTATTTATTTTGGGGATTTATTTACCGCTACAGATCACTCCCCCCCTAGTGGGGCAGTGACGACCCTAAGACGTGGCCAGCCAGAAGTTTAAACCCAACGAGTTTGTCGTTGGTAAACACTCTTCTGATAGCTTACTAAATTTAGCAGCGTCTGGTCGTCTTTCCTTACTATATGGGACCGAGGTACAACATAGTAAAAAAAGAAAATGTTACAACGAAAATTTCGACTCCTCGTTCTTTTCCAGCCGTCCTGGAAAAGAAAAAAAAAATGTAAGTGCATGTCGAAATACACTCGTATGTGCGTAAAAACACAATGTCGGCGAAAAAAATGGAAAATAAACTCAAGCACACGTAATAGCGTTAAAAAAATAATTTTTTTGTTTGTTTGTTTTTAAATAAAAATATAAATATATAGGCATATTAAAATTTTTTAAATATATTATATATCGTAAAAAGAAAATCGAGATAATATAAAATGTCGAGTAGTGCCTTACGTGCAGTAGTCGTTTAAATGTTCTGGAAATCTTACTCTTCTTCCAGAACGCGTCGTTTTAAGTTTATTTTCAGATACATTCGGAGTATCATCGCTAGTGTTGGTTGTCGGTTGAGGAATTATGAGTGTAGGAGTCGTTTTGTGCGATTGTACCGAAGGAAAGTCGACGTGAATAGGATTTCCTTCTAAATACGCTGCTTTTAAGCGATCGATGCTGATGCTATCGTTTGTTCCGTTCTTATCGACTATATAGTACTTAGATTCACGTTGAAGAACTTTGAAAGGTCCTTCGTATGCTGATTCGAATGGTCGTCGATGCGAGTCTCGACGAACGAAAACGTGTGTACTATATCGTAAGTCAGGTTGAACGAAAACATCAGTTGATTGAGGTCGAGTGGAAGCAGGTTTAACTGAACGCATTGCGTTTGTAAGCCTGTTCGTGTAGGAGGTTAGATCCATGTTCATCGAAGAGCACGAAGGATCCACGAATTCTCCTGGAAGTCGAAGTGTCGTTCCATAAACGAGTTGAGCCGCAGTGTATCCAATGTCAGCTTTCACTGCATTGCGGATACCTAGTAAGACGAGTGGAAGAGCGTCGGTCCATTGTGAAACGTTTGCAGCTGATAGCGAAGCTTTCAGTTGTCGGTGAAAACGTTCTACCAACCCGTTTGCTTGTGGATGGTAGGCGGTCGTTCGGAAGCGAGTGATTCCTAAAAGTGTGGTCAGACGACGGAAAAGTTCAGATTCAAACTGACGTCCGCGGTCTGTAGTGATGGTTGAAGGGCAGCCGAAGTTTGCTACCCATCGTTCGACGAAGGTGCGGGCCACTGTTTCAGCAGTGATGTCCTTGATAGGTACTGCTTCTGGCCATCGAGTGAAACGGTCTACGCAGGTTAAGAGGTAAGAGTATCCATTTGAATCTGGTAAAGGTCCTACCAAATCCAGATGAACATGGTCGAAACGAGCATCGGGAGTTTTAAACGAGCCTAAGGGACATTTATTGTGTCTGATAACCTTAGATTTTTGGCAGCTTACACAGGAGCGTGCCCACTCCCTCACGTCTTTATTCATGCCAGGCCAGCAAAACCGTTCTGCTATAAGCTTGATGGTTGCACGAACACCTGGATGAGAAAGTTTGTGCAATGTGTTGAAGACATTGCGTCGATAATGTTTCGGCACGATTGGGCGATCCCTACCTGTAGATGTGTCACAAAGTAAGGTTTCCTTACCTGTTCCCATCTGTTTGATGCGTAGTTTAAGGGTTGTGGACGATAACTCGTGCTGAAGATCAGTGTCTTCTTTTTGAAGCTCGGCGAGTTTAAGAAGGTCGATTCCTTGGAAACTGTTCAAGGAAGTTATGCGAGATAAGGCGTCTGCAACTACATTGTTTGCTCCAGAAATATATTGAATATCTGAAGACTCACGGGGAGAGTACTTGTCTGAAGTAGAGCTTAGAGAGAAGTTGAGTGGTTTATGGTCAGTGAAAAGAGTGCATTCACGGCCTTCGATGTAGTGTTGAGAATGCTGTGCAGCACAATACATAACTCGGAGTTCCCTACCGAATGTGCTGTACCTCGATTCGGTGTTTAGAAACCGTCTAGAGAAAAATCCCAATGGTTGCCAGGAGTTGTTAACCTATTGTTGTAAGACTCCTCCGATTGCTGAGTCGGATGCGTCTACTGCGATACTAATGGGTGCTCGGGTGTCCTGATGTGCAACAACGAAGATCCAGTGAATGGGTTTGCGTAAACCCACGTTAAGGTAAACGTACCTTTTGCCATACGTTGCGATGGGTTTTCCGTTTGCCGCCTGTAAGTTTAGAGCCGTTTCGTGAAGCCGGTCGTTGGGATTCGCTGGGAGAACTCTAACTTCTGCGCCAGTGTCG